CCCCCCCCCCAAAAAAAAGAAAGCAAAGCAGGATGGGAAAAAAATAAATCTCCAATAAGGATAATGCAATAATGCATTCCAAACATTGAATATCTAGAGAATACATATATAAATATATCGAGATACGTATGTTTATATATGTCTGGATCTTATAGACCCATTCGCATTTTGCTCCTGCTCTGAAACACCTTTTATACGAAAGATCTGCCTCTCTTCTTTCATGAACTCTATCAACAATCCTATTTTTTTTTTTTTCCTAAGCACCAAGGTGAGAAAAGAGACTTTCCTCTCGAGGAGAATGTGCATCCTTGCCTTGTCCGTGTGGCTCTTCCCACTGCATCTCCCTTCCCTGTTCCCAAGGCTTTTCATGCATCCTTAGGTGTCTTACAGCTGGAATAATTCTGCCAGAGGATGATGGTGACGTGCCAGGAAAACCCAGGTGTGGTTTCTGAGCGTGTCCCAGGGAAGGCAGACAGCCCAGGTGGAATATTTGCTGATTGCAGAGTTAATTATCACAGCACAATGCCTTTGTAGTGGATATTTTTAATTAGAGTTTAGCCATTGACAGCCAAAGTTTTGCCATATTTTGATACACCACCTTTTTTTTTTTTTTAAACTGGAAGCTTTTCTTAAAAAAAAAAAACGAACCAAAAAAAAATTATAATTATTTTATAAAATAAGCACAATCTTATTTTTATAAGAAATGTTGGGGAAGGGAGCTGGTACCAAAAGAAATGGAGAGGAGCTATAGGCACAGTGCAAAATGTAAAAAATAAAAATCTCTTGGGATGTTGGGACATGGGAGAGCTGCTGTGGGGCTGTGGCACTGTGCCCCCAGCCCAGAGCTTGATCTGGCCCTGCCTGAGGGGTTTTGTGGGAAAATAATGTTGATTTCCTGTGTTGGCAGGGCAGGATGGGGGTCCCTGAAGCATCCTTGTCTCCCTCAATCCACACAGGGCAGCTGGGGGGATGCTCTGGTTTGGGGGACACCCCACCAAATACCCCAAACCCCTCTCTTTGGGTGCTGGGGTAACATCTGTGCGTCACAGCTGGGTTTGCAGTGTGCGTTTCCATGCTGGCACAGGCAGGAAAATCCCCCAAAATTCATCCCCAGCCTCTTTCTGCCCTTCCTCTGCCACCCTCTGGGTGCTCTCCACGGGACCCTCAGCCTGCAGAAACACAGAGCTGGAGAGGGGAAAAATGGGATAAAATGTGTAAAGAAATGTGTAAAGAAATGGGTAAACACTGCTGAGGAATGGGGAGGGGGCAGCCCCATCCCATTATTCTGCATCCAGAACTGGGATGGAGCCCTAAAAACAGCACCAGTGGCAGGGAACAGGGGGACACAGAGGTGCCATTGGAGCAGGGGGACACAGAGGTGCCATTGGAGCAGGGGGACACAGAGGTGACATTGGAGCAGGGGGACACAGAGGTGCCATTTTTTCCCAGTTTTCCCACAGGTGGCCGTGCCCTTGGGGCTGTTCCCCCCTGCAATAAGGATCTGTCTGTCTGCACAAAAATAATCCTTTCTGTGAAAGGATCTCCCCATCAGGGCTGATGGGAGAGCCCGGTGACTGTGTTGCAAAAAGGAGCAGGAAAATTAAAAAAAAAAAAAAAAAGGAAAAAAAAAAAAGAAAAAAAAAACTCCAGGAAAATCGAGCGAAAAATCCCCGGAAATTCTTTTGTACCAATGAAGTTTGTTGTGTGCCTTTTGCAGAACGGCTGGAGGTGACAATAAAGTGACAGTTGTTTGCATCACTTTGGCTCTTGGAGGTGGAAAATGCTCCCAGGCTTAAGGGGGAGATGGAGCAGGGCTGGATTTAAGGGTAACCTTGCATTTATTGGGGTTCTCTGCTCCGGTGATCCCAGCTCAGGGCAGGTGGGTGGGCTGAGCCTTTCAGTCCTGATTTTTGGTGGGTTTTGGTGGTTTTGGGTTGTTTTAGGTGGGTTTTGTGGAAGTTCCAGCCAGTTCTAATGCTCTGGAGTTGGGAAGAGGCACAGGGTGAGCTCGTGAAATAAGTGGGAGTGTGGAGTGTCCATAGTAGAGATCCTGGTGGGATGCTCATAGGGGTCCCCAACCTTCAGGAGCTGTGGGGTTAATGGGTTTTTATGATTTTTGGTGGGGTTTTGGTGGTGTTTTGTGGGTTTTTGGTGGTTTTTGTGGAAGTTTCAGCCACTTCCAACACTCCGGAGTTGTGAAGAGGCGCAGGGGGAGCTCCTGAAATGAGTGGGAGTGTGAAGTGTCCATAGTAGGGATCCTGGTGGGATGCTCAGGGTGGTCCCCAATCTTCAGGAGCTGTGGGGTTGGTGGGTTTTAATGATTTTTGGTGGGTTTTTGGTGGTTTTTGTAGAAGTTCCAGCAGTTCCAACACTCTGGAATTGGGAGGAGGCACAGGGGAAGCTCCTGAAATGAGTGGGAGTATGGAGTGTCCATAGTAGGGATCCTGGTGGGATGCTCAGGGGTGGTTTTTGATGATTTTTGGTGGGTTTTGGTAGGTTTTGGTTGTTTTTGGTTGTTTTAGGTGGTTTTTGTGTAAGTTCCAGCCACTTCCAACACTCTAGAGTTGAGAAGAGACACAGAGGGAGCTCCTGAAATAAGTGGGAGTGTGGAGTGTCCATAGCAGAGATCCTGGTGGGATGCTCAGGGGGGTTCCCAGCCTTCAGGAGCTGTGGGGTTGATGGTTTTGGGTGGTTCTGGTGGATTCTCCAGGGTCTGATGGAAGCTTTGTGCTGCCTTTCCCCTCCACAGCAGCCAGGACCACCCTCCCATCTCCCACTGGTGCTAATGAAACTCAGAACATCACTGGCCACTGCCTTTCCCTGTGA